ATAGATATTTATTCATTTTTATACTCGTTTAGTTAGTGCCTAAACAAAATAAAGACTTTGTTCATCTAGCGAGTTTATTTCGATTTAATATGCTTGTCCTTTTATTTTAGAATAACAAGCTTTGAATAGAAATATAGCTAAACAAGTAGAGGAAGATAAATTAATAATATATGCATAGTATAAGTTACTAACTTATCAAGAAAATAGTTATTTTATTATTCTCTTTTCAAATCAATGTTACTTGTAGGTTATTTATTGTTTAAAAGGATGTTTGTTTTATTTATGCAAATGCATTACATAAATCTAATTATACTCATATAAAGTCAGATATTCTCTTTTCAAATCAACGTTTTTTGTATATAAACAAGAATTTTTGGCATATTCGTATTGAACCAAGGAGTAAATAAATAGTTATGTTAAAATTCAAGTCGTTTTGAAAAAATCATAACTCCTTATAAAATAATATAGGTCAATGTTTGAAGAGAAAAGAAATAGTTAAAAGTCATTTTTAGTGTTATTGTACTAAAAAGAAAACGTATACTTGGAGTATAACATGTTAATATTCGAAATAGTAAAAACTAAATATTTGAATTGAAAAAATAAAAAATATACCATAAAAGTGCAAGGAATCTGGAGAGATAGGAAAAACATTTAAACTAATAACATCCCCCAAACTTAAGAGACAAGTAAAGAAAGTTTAATCCGCAGTTAAAAAACAAGGGAACAACAAGTTTAATTCGTAGTTTAAAAAGAAGTGAAGAGCGGAATTTGAACCCGCGTCTTCCAAGAAGAGGTAGGCGCTTCAACCATCCTTGCTACTCGAACTGTATCTCAGATTTCGGGACAATTAGTCTTTATTACTACTCTTGACACGGGGCTGAACTCAAACATATACACATATATACACTAGAACCTTCGGCGAACGGGGGAGGCAGCACCAGCTCGCCCCATTGCTCCAATCAGAATTATATATGAGTCCACTTCACTATGATTATATAAGACATTTGGTGTTTATATTTTATTAAAATACAATATGGAAAGCTGGATATTAAATCAATACAGAAATAATTCCATATATCCTACATCTAACTTGGAAAAACATGATCAATTCTTGAAAGAAAGCTGATTTTTTATATATAAGCGTAACAATATATAGAACAATAAATAATAAATTAAATATACCTACTGTGCGTGAATTTTAAATCTAAAATTGACTCAATTATATATTGGTGGAAAACTAACAAAGTTCTCGCAATGGGTGTTTGTTTAGTGCTTAGTACATGAAAATATTGATAGTTTGGTGCATAGTTCAATGGTAGAAGAGTAATAAACATGCTTCCTTTTTATTATTTTAATCTCGATTTTGTTTCATCATTCTCAGTTTTGTTTTTTGAGGAGATTAAAATTAAGGATGAGGGATTACCTTAATTTGGGGTAAGTTTTTTATTTTTCTTTCATAACTTTGAGTTTTTATTTTACATTTTAATATTATATATTTTTTATAATTTTATGTATTTCTATGCAATATAATGCGTAATCTTTTTTAATTTCTTAATTCAGAGCAAAAAATGTCTTATGTGTTGCAACTTACAGGTGTTCACCAAAGAGGGACACAGATTTGAAGCACGTAAGGTGTGAATAGTTCTGGCAGCTCATATGGAATTTGTGAAAAGAAAATGTTTGTCGGCTTATTTTGAAAAGAAATTTAAAAAGAGTAACAAGTGATACACCGTGTATTTCAAGTCTATTCCGAAAATTTTCCTTGTTGTTTAGTGGTTTTCTTATCTTGTAATTGATTTTCTCAGTTGGGCATCACGTCTTCTAGCTTTTAAGATTGTTATTTTTTGGGCCTTACAATTTTAGTATATATAATTATTATTTTTCTTACATATGTACTCCGTTCTAAATTTTGACTCCACCCCGGTTTGGCAAATATTTCCTCCTCAAAGATGAATAGGCGGGCAACGCTCCAATTAAGTAGGGCAATTGTCTTTGTTGTTAGGGAACTCTCAACGCACATGCGAGAGCCATGCATGCCGACATGCATGGCATGCATGTTTCATCTGCCAACTTTTTTCTTAAACCATAATTTCTAATAAATGTTAGGGGGGATGAATTTGAAATTGAGATGGTACAAGATAAAAATACCTGGGACGAATCTGAATTTTAGATGGAGCAAGGTAAAATTACCCGGGACGATTGTGAAATTCATATTCAAGAAGCTAAAATTTCCAATGTGATGGAAGAAAACGTGTGCCGAACATGCATGGAGGAGTAAGATAATGTTCAAACCAGACGTTTCATCCCACTAGGATGCTCTTGTGTGAAGGATATGGGTCTCGCTCATGAAGACTGCGCACAAGCATGGTTTAAGATTAGAGGACACACATGTGAGGTATGCGGGAAAGTTCCGCAAAACGTGGGCGGCATACATGCCGAGCAAAGGCAATAGCGATCAAGCTACACAAGTATAACCATTGCGACCACAAAAGAACTGGAGCAGTCCTACTACCTCCGGCTCCAGCAACGTGGCATCTACAAATATGTTTGGGTTTATGTCTTAGTCATCACTTTAGTCTTAGCCTTGGTCTTGAAAGCCGTCGTTGCCATCGCTTTCAAGACCAAGACTAAAGCGATGAAAAAGACATACACCCATACATATTTGTAGATGCCACGTTGCCCGAGCTAGAGGTAGTAGGACTGCCCCAGTTCTTCCTTGGTCGCAATGGTTATACTTGTGTAGCTTGACCGCTCCTGTCTTCGCTCGGCGTGTATGCCGACCACGTTTTGCGGAACTTTCCCGCATACCTCACAGGTGTGTCCTCTAATCTTAAACCATGCTTGCGCGCAGTCTTCGTGAGCGAGACCCATATCCTTCACACAAGAGCATCCTAGTTGGATGAAACGTCTGGTTTGAACATTATCTTCCTCCTCCATGCATGTTCGACACACGTTTTCTTCCATCACATTGGAAATTTTAGCTTCTTGAATCTGAATTTCACAATCGTCCCGGGTAATTTTACCTTGCTCCATCTCAAATTCAGATTCGTCCCAGATATTTTTATCTTCTCCCATAACAATTTCAAATTTGTCCCCCTTGAAATTTACTAGAAATTATGGTTTAAGAAAAAAAGTTGGCAGATGAAACGTGCACGCCATACATGTCACCATGCATGGCTTTCGCATGCGCGTTGAGATAAGTTCCCTAAGTCCTAACAACATACACAATTGCCCTACTTGGAGCGCTGCCCGCCTATTCATCTTTGAAGGGGAAATATTTGCCTAACTGGGGTGGAGTCAAAATTTAGTACGGAGTACATATGTAAGAAAAATAATTATATATACTAAAATTGTAAGGCCCAAAAAATAACAAACTTAAAAGCTAGAAGACATGATGCCCAATTGAGAAAATCAATTAAAAGAGAAGAAAACCACTAAATAATAATGGAAATTTTCGGAAATAGACTTGAAATACACGGTCTATCACTTGTTATTCTTTTTAAATTTCTTTTCAAAATAAGCCGACAAACATTTTCTTTTCACAAATTCCATATGAGCTGCCAGAACAGTTCATACCTTACGTGCTTCAAATCTGTGTCCCTCTTTGGGTAACACTTGTAAGTTGCAACACATAAGACATTTTTTATCTAAATTAAGAAATTAAAAAATACACAATATGTTACATAGAAATACATAAAATTATAAAAATAAAATATATTATATTAAAATGTAAAATAAAAACTCAAAGTTATGAAAGAAAAATAAAAAACTTACCCCAAATTCAAGTAATCCCTCATTCTTAATTTTAATCTCCTCCAAAAACAAAAGTGAAAATGATGAAACAAAATCGAGATTAAAATAATAAAAAGGAAGGATGTTTATTACTCTTCTACCATTGAACTATGCACCAAACTATCAATATTTTCATGTACTAAGCACTAAACAAACAACCATTGCGAGAACTTTGTGGGTTTTCCACCAATATATAATTGAGTCAATTTTAGATTTAAAATTTGCGCACAGTAGGTATATTTAATTTATTAATTATTGTTATATATATTGTTACACTAATATATATAAAATTAGCTTTCTTTCAAGAATTGATCATGTTTTTCCGAGTTAGATGTAGAAAATATTGAATTATTTCGATCTGTATTGATTTAATATCCAGCTTTCCATGTTGTATTTTTATAAAATATAAACACCAAATGTCTTATATAATCACAGGGAAGTAGACTCATATATAATTCTGATTGGAGTTTCAATAATAGCCAAAAATAGGCTATTAGAAGTAAACTAATCGGTAGTCTAATGCAACATAAACAATGGAGAAACCAAACATTTAAAAAAGAGTAATGTTTTAGTTTAATTTGGTTTTATTATAACAAAAAAAACTTTTTGAAAAGAAGATCAAGTTCAGTTTGTAAATTAATTAATTTAGTCATATGCCATGAAAATAGGGTATGGTTGTGTTTTTTCGGCCTAGGGGTTGCTGACTCACTCAAAGGTATAGTTGAAAAATATTCTTGTTTGATTTAATACTATAATATATGAATTGATTATAACAAAAATCTTTGTTTTCAACAATGAAATGAACAAAGGATTGAATAAGAATCATAGCAATGTGAATGTTACCAAGGATCCTTGTTAAGATTTGATTTCATCATGTCTACTTTCCAAATGACTAAAATCTGCAATTTTGTCAAAAGAATAAAGTATACTTCCTCCGTTCTTTTTTAGTTGCAACGGTCAACATTTCACACTTGCTAACACACATCTTTGACTGTAATTATATCCTAATCTCTATTAGTTAGAAATAATTAAAAATCAGATTTTTAAAATTTGTAATGAGATGAATTGAACAATATCTTTTTTAAAAAATAATTTTCATAAATAATACCGTAAAATGTAGTCAAAGTAGAACACGTGAATAATGTAAAATTCAACATGTTGTGATTAAAAATAAATGGAGGATAGTTTAAAATTACATGTATGCTTACCACTGTCAACTTTCACAGCACAAATGACCTCCCAGGAACTTTGGTTTATCGTCGCTGGAAATCCGGAGATATCTCCAATCATTTCTGTCACTGGAAAAAGACTCTGAAGATTGACCTGGATGGAGAAGGGAGGAAATGGAACTTACATCTCCCAGTTTCTCCTTTATAGAGACATCATGAGTGTTCTAAACCTTTATGATGTTGCTCAAACCATGGTCTCAACCTTTCAGATGGCCTGCATTATTTATAATCCCGTGTCTTAATAGTTCATCTACTAAAACAGTTTTTTAGAAATGAACAGATAGTATGAGTTATCCACCACTAAATGAATAGATACATTCACATAGTATGAGTTATCCACCACTAAATGCTATTAAGCATATTATTTTTATTATTTCAAGTTTCACTTCATTCACTTGGTCACCCTAAAAGAGAAACAAAAGAGAAACAAAGGGGATAGAGCATTACTGAAAATCTGAGAAGAAACTTTCACGAATAATGGAAAAATATTTCTTTCCTTCTATGGATGAATCGGATAAAGTCGATCAGTGCCCCTTAATTATGAAATATGACGACCAATATGCTCATCAGCTCATGTACAGTTTAAGCACTAATCAACAATTAATTTATATGCTCCAATAAATACTAATTACTAACAAAATATGAAAAATATAAATACTAATTTATATGTACGTGTTTATTTGTGGGATGAAAGAAAATATGAAACATTAATCAAAATGAAAAATAAATCCCTTAAATACGAAAATACACACTCCAATTTACTCATGTTGAGTTTTGCCGTTGCATCTTGCAAAGATTACAATTGAATAGATCACATATTCCTAAACTCTTATCACCCAAAAATACAGCACATCTTTGATGGGTTATGTCGTTCACATTGACCTTAACTACCACAAATTTGAAAACACGGAATTCTTAAATTATTGCACTACACGTCTACAATAAGACCTATTCAATAAAGCATTAAGGAATTTACCAATCGGAAATGTAGGAGAAGCGACGTATAGCAGAACGCTGCCATGAGATGGTTAAGCTTAGTCTAGTACTATAGTGAGATGGTATTCCTAATATTCTTAACAAATTAGTCAGAACTGAACAAAATTCATAAATTGAGATGTCTTACCTGAATTGATATGAAGTCAGAAGAAATGGCCATCGCTCAATGAAGGCGGATGCAGGAATAAGACGATGGAGATTGACCGAGATTAAGCCAAGGCAGGTAGAAGATGATGGAGATTGACTGGAATGGAGACTGTGGAAAAATTGAAAAGGGATGAACTGATGAAGGCGGGCAGCTTTCTCTGGCCCGGCCCTGTGGTGATGAAATCTGGATATATGAGAGGATGAACATGATGGAGAAGTCGGGCAGATGGAATGATAGTAAAGTTCGAAGAAATAGAAGGAGACAGAAGATGTAAAGTGAATGAAGGCGGAGGAGCCAGATGGTGATCGATGCGCATGGAGAAGGTGGTGGAACTAAGATTGATCAGATGACTGAGAGTTGTTCATTCCATGGACGGACGGTCGAGATGTGTAGTTGCATTAGGCGGGAAGATATTGTAACACTTTTATGTATTTTGTTTGAATATAATGCTTTATATATATAGACTAATAGATAAAAAACCAAAATAAAAAGTGTTTCTGTAAATAGAGTAATCGCACACCTATTACCCTTAGGTCTTAACAAAGCATAAGTGAGGCATACATCCATAATCGCACACCAATCAAAGATTCAATGATGGTGGTCATTGAATGGCATAGTCACCAGAGAGGTCCGGCGAAAGAGGTCTGGCATAGTCACTGTAGAAACATGTTTTTAAGATTAATGGAATCAAGCAACCAAATATCATGCGGGTGGAGGCTTGGCACGACCCAGTCGATATTCAACACTTGAAATCAAACCGACTTGGAATGCTTATCATGGTGGATGGGGACTGGGGAGGTATGAATATCTAAACCCATCACCGTCTCAAATCAATTTTCGTGCATGTAGAAATGGTCTATGCTCATGATATATATGTTTTTGCATGAACTTAATTAGAAATATAATTAAGTTTAGCGCCACCTACATACCGATTTGGATTAATCATAAACATTATGAACTGATCACTATAAAAAGTTATAGTCATCATTTTCAGTTTAGAATTGAGATGCTTTAAGAAAATAGGATAAGCATTTTTGTTTAACGAATACTATCATCTAGAATATGAAAGGATGGCATGAATATAACTTTTGGGCTTTTAAGAGACATAAATTTGACCAAAAATGGAATCGACAAAAAAGTGAGCAGTGGACGTTCTCCCACGTCTCCTGCCTCTTCTTCTCCAAGACTCCAACGCTCCCCTGCGTTTCACACTCTCACCTGCAAATAGTTTTTTCTTCTCTTCTTCTCCTCTCCGATTTTCTGCCTCCCCTCCACTATGCTGCCACGATGGCCACCACCTCTTCGCCGTGCCGTGCTTCCCATCTCATCACCTCTTCCGCCAATCCTTCGCATCACATCGCATCACTGCGCCTCGCTCAGATCCGGGGGATGGGGGTGGCTAGAGGGTTCAGCAGCGAGTGGTCGGGGATGGGATGTTGGATGTGGGGCTGGGAAGGGGTGGATCAGGGTTGTGTCGTTCAGAGCTGTAACTGGATCTGGGGGAGTGGGATGGGTCTGGGCCAGGGGCCAGGGCAGAGGATCATGGGAGTGGGGTTGGGCCAGAGGTGGGGCGGGGAGAGGTTGATTGGGGCTGGAACTAGGGGAGTGGTCTGGAGTGGGACTAGGGGCAGGACTCGTGGTGTCGGCCGCCGGAGAGGGGCGGCGGCAAGTTACCTGTGGCGGTGGGAAGTGGTGGTGGTCGGCATTGGGTGGAGGTGGGAGGCCAGGTTGAGGTATAAAAGCAGTGGGAACAGGGGGCAAGAGAGTTGGAGATAGGCTGAGTGTCGGTGTGGGGGTTGGGGTTGCGGCTGAACAACCGCAGTGCTGGCGGCAGCGATTTCAAGGATCGAAACTGGTTACAGTGACATGCTTTACGGTGACATTGAGTCAGTGACATATAAAAGTGACATACAAATCTGGTAGTGACATATGACAGTGACATAAAAACCAGGCAGTGACATAAAAATTTCGCAATGACATTAAGTTTTTTCCAAAAATATGACCTTCTTAGTCATTTTTGTGTCCTTTTATAAAAATGGTCACATTTTTGGAAATTGGCTTTAATTTATTAATATTCAAGGATTTCAAGGCAAAAGCCCCTAGAATATTATGCCACATAGTTCATTTTTCACACTAAGTGTAGTTTATGTTGGAAAAATGATTTTACAAATTACTCCTTATATATTATTTGTAGAAAATCGATTTTGAAATGAATGAGAAATTGTATCCCGAAATTCTCTTCGTAGCAATGTTTGTGTAGGACTTGTCTCGGGCCGCCGTCGTCATCCGGTTGGCTGGACAGGTCGGGTCGAGTTTCGAGTACAGGTGGGTACTCGCGTTGTGACACCGCACCCGGATGTACTTGAATTTGAAATTTGATATGTATTTGAATTTCCAAGCGAATAAAATCGTGTTACAGATTGGTATATTTAATTAATGTGTGATTAATTAAATTATTTATCGGGCCCATAATAATGAGAATGAGCTACCAAATATTTAGTTGGGTCATCGTAATAATTATAGAAGCCCAATAAAGTGCCAACTAAAGTTGATAAAAATGTTTGGACAACCCAAATGCTATTTTGACCCAACCTGCCAAAAATAGTAGGAATAATAGGGAGGGACTTTCTACACCCACTTGGGATTTTTCCTACATGACTTGTGGACTCTAAGTAATCAATTTGGACACACTTTGAGTGAGGGGGGCGTGGAAGAGGAGAAAAGTCTCCAAGAGACAAAAACTCATACCCTACCTTCACATGCATTATCATGTGTTTGATTGAGAAGGAATCTTCCTTATCTCATTACCCACCATTCGGCCAGCACAAGGGAGAGGAGAGCTCAGAGAAAAAAGTCTCCAACAAGGTCCAAGCTTGAAGGAAACAATAGGAAAAGAAAACTAACACAAAAGACTAGGTTCTTGAGGTAAGAACACAAGTTTTATTCATTAACTAGTTTTATGTTGTATGATTTTTAAGAAATCATATGGTGGTTAAACATGAAGTTCTACAAGTTTAAAAGTGTATAATATTGTTATAAAGTGGTGGTATTTAACTTAGAAGAGTCGTGGAATCAATAGGAGTTGAAACCGCCGAAAACTGCCACTCAAAAGGAGCTGTTCGTAGCTGCAGCCTGCAGGCCATGAAAGCTGTCCACCTTTTGCAAAAGCCGGCCAACTTTTGTCTGATGTCCAGAATATTCACTTCTAATTGGTTTAGAATGAGGATTGATCGAAGGGCTTAACAAAGACAACTATTTCAGCACTTCATAAGGTGAGGATGACTGACTATAATGTTTATAATTAGTGAGTTAATTTCATGAGATTACCTAAGGTAATTACGTGTGTTTTTATGGATTATTAATGACTAATAATGCCTAAGAATGAGAAGACTATTGTCTATAAGGAAAAGGAGCATAATATACAAATTTAAGACTAAATTTGTGTATGATTATGTGTCATGAGCATGTTTACTTGATAATCGAATTAACTATAAACCTTATGTTGAAATATACTTTTTACTTCATATAAGAATATATGATGAGTGACTAAAAGGTATACTTTTTATATTGATATGAATTATATTTTCAATGGAAAATTAGTTTGGAATTAGTCTATATGACTATGAATTGAAAGTTGGTTTTGTTGGAATTTATCCGACTAGTATTAAGATACTAGTCGGGGTATTGGAAAGAGATTATGCTAGATTTGGTCCTAAGGTTGGATTGTGAAATATTAAACCTTAAGTAGTCTTAAGAGATGCTAAGGTGGACATGTATGAACTTTAAGTTATACTAAGGGTAGGCCTTAAGGGATACCCTAGATAAAGTGAATAATAAATTGATCCTAGATATAGGATTGGCCTACGGGTGTATTCGGTAGCCCTTGAGGATAGCCGGTTGAATTATAATAAATTGATCCTAGATATAAGATTGGCCTACAGGTGTATTCGGTAGTCCTTGAGGATAGCCGGTTGAATTATGGTAATAAGTAAGGACCATGCCCCTTCCCGACTCTAGAGAGCGAGGTTGGATAGCATGGACTTGCATCGTGATCACGGGTTAGGGTGGAA